ATTAACTGATTGTCAAATAATTTGCTGGTTGTCACTTTTACAGATAGTTCTAAAACCGTTTTAGTGTCATTAAATTTCTTTAGAAAAAGACATAATATGTAAACAGGTTTTTAAATATTCTCACCATTACTAGCTCATAATTGTCGAGTTACTTCCATGATATACTACTTCATCTACAACATAAAAATGGGACAAAACTAGTGTCTTTTCTTTGCTCTTCAATATAGAGAATCTAATAGTTACACAAGGACATAAAATATTTTTTTTTTGAATTTTAAGTCTAAGATTCGGAATTTGACAAAAACAAAGAAAAGTAACCAAAAACGACAATGAAATTTTAAAAAATCATTACAGCATCTTTTAGCCATGGCGCAATGTTATTGTTTGAAAATGCACACGACAAGAACATTTAAACAGACATAGACATGTAAATTATATAACAGGTACGAAACAATATAGAACTCGACCTATCACAGAACCAATTATCAATTACTTTATTGTGTTGAAACTGTTTCCAAAAATGACCACATCATTCTAGAACAAATAACTCGTTTATCTGCGTATATATTCATACTTTAAGTTGCATAGACATGGTGTACAGGTCGTGATGCTACCCAAGTACCTTTCCAAATCTGGCAGTACAAAAGATCGGTGAAGAAGAAAGAGAAGACGTTACGGTTGCTGGAACTTTTTCACGGTGTATAAATGGTAAAATATCTCATTAGAGAACACGGCTTTGGAAGAGAAGAATACCAGCAAATCTCGATATCTACTTTGGCTATATGATACAGAATGCAGTATGTATAAAAACTTTCAGCTATGTCCACCAATGTTGTCACTTGAAAAACAATATGAATTTGTCGGGCAGTCAACAGCCCCAGGCATAAAGAAAAACTAGTATTGTTGGCTTCTTCTGCGCTTTCCGAATTATTTGTTGTTTCGGAATTATTTGTTGTCACTAAAATTAACCAAGATAAAAGGGCAGGAGATAAAATTAAAGTAAGCAAACAAGTAATTTCGCTAGACTGTTACACACACACACACACACACACACACATATATATATATATATATATATATATATATATATATATATATATATATATATATATATATTAGAAGAAAGATAGAGAGGTGTCAAATATGTTTGCATTAAATTATATCTCTTGTTGCATGTTGTAGCCGCGGAGGAAGGGTTACATTCTATGAAGACTTGCCCGTTACACTAAGGTGAAAATAACATACTATGAAAATTTCAGCTGCAAAATCAAAGCTCCCAGTGGTACCCTTTTCACCAAACACTAAGGGCTAATTGATCCTCCGAAAATCCTAGCATTTTCACTAACATATTGCTAGACTTAATCTTTGATCATCAAACTTGTCGGAAAGTATATAGCTAAATTAGTACCCGAAGTCCTACAGAAAACAGATTTTGGAGTAGGTTTTGTGGGCTGTTTTTTCGGCAGGAGATGGGGTAATTTATTTCAGATCTTTTATGCATTTCAAATTAATAATACCCATACATGTACTTTCAAAACCAAAAAAGATCTATAATTAAACAATGCAGTCATCTATTCCATAAAACAAGTGGTATTTGAATAGATTTGCAGATGAAAGAAAAATATTAACAAATATCAGTTAACTAAAATATACATGTTACAAATATTTATATACTTTGATCACGTGGTATAATGGGTAATTGATTCCGTAAACCGCATTTAGCAGTTTGGCAAACAATGTTCAATATCTGCATAAACATATGCATCTCTCTCTCTCTCTCTCTCTCTCTCTCTCTCTCTCTCTCTCTCTCTCTCTCTCTCTCTCTCTCTCTCTCTCTCTCTCTCTCTCTCTCTCTCTCTCTCTCTCTCTCTCTCGTCTTGCCCCTTCTTTTCCTTTTAAGTGGAAGTGTTATTGGTCCTTATTTGTCCTTATTAGTTTAGGGAAAGTGTTCAAACTATATACTTCTGCATGGTTTCTAGATTATAGTATTGTTTCTTTAAAAAAATGTATATTAAACGAACTGACAGAAAAACATTTGAGTGAATAGAATTTACCTCAGACATTGCCGGAGCAAGACAAGCTATGGGAAATAACACGTTTTACCTTTGCTGCCCAGTTCATTGCGAGTTGCATCCCTTTAAACGTTGTCAAGCTTGCTCGCATCAGCTATAAAGTCATGTATAAGCAATAAATTTATTGTCTTAAGCTATAAATTTATTCTCTTGGGAATACTTCTGCAGCGTTGTGTATGATTCTAAACAATGTCTCAGGCTAATGCTACACTCTTGCGTGCGCAAGGTTACCTGACCAGCAGTAGAGCGGAATGTTGAGTCGGCAACAGGCGATAGATCGCAGCACTTCACTTTTATGTGTTGCAGCTTATGTTAGGATCAAAGGGGCGGATGAGGAAAAGGTGTCTGGAGGAGAAAGTGCAGGATGAGGAAAAGCAGTATAGAGAAGTCGAGGTGGAGAAGGACTATAGAAGTGGAGAGGAAGGAGAAGGTGTACGAAGAAGTCGAGCAGCAAGAGAAGGAATTTGGAGAAAGTCGGGGCGGAAGAGGAGAAGGAATTGTGAGAAATATGAGAAAAGAATACCACAGATGAATAGAATACAAGAACTTATAATCAAATGATACAATAAGCTATTATATGGTCGAGCAGGAAAAAATGTATTTTGGAATTTGATTCATTTGATTAAATTGTTATTAAATTGTCATTCTTCAATCTTTTTGTATACTTAACCATCTAGCCGTCGGCAGTGCTGACTGGGGGCTCAGAGCTTTACATCTTATCTTTCGGTAATTTAACATCCAACATAATCGAGCCTGGGTGAGACTTTATAATAGTTTAATTAAAAAATTAGGAGCACCCCACCCCAATTATAACATCCTATTCCTCACAAATATTATTTTTATATATATATATATATATATATATATATATATATATATATATATATATATATATATATATATATATATATATATATATACAATGCAAATTAAATATACATAGATTGATTGTATTTATCTATTATGAAATTACTTAAGGAGATATAACATTGAGATAATATTCAGTTAATAAATTGATCATACATTTTATCAACATTAAAAAGATACCTATCTCTGCTTGAAATTAACCCGCTCAATTTCGCTTTTCACACATTATCCACTGTACTTGAACTCACCTATTCGGAACATCCTCGTCCCATTCTGATGTGAGTCGAATAACTGAAAATAAGCGACTCTACCATCTGGCGATTTACTAACCAACTTTGAATATTATCCATACGCAGACCAACTCGGGGGTCACAGATTAACAATATAGTTTCAAGCACTTGGCGCCATTCCTTCATTTATTTTTGGGACTTGATATGGTCATTCTAATAAATCTCATGATTACTATTTAAACTAAGTTCGATTCTGAGTATTTAAAAAAAAATGTGTAAACGTGTTTTTGCATAGTGTAAAATTGACAACGTTTATTAGAGCACTTCCGTTGTCGAATCTTCAATTTCAGAGCTGCGTAGTTTTGCACATTGTTAAGCTCTTCAATTTCGGAGTTGAGTTTTGTTTAGAGACCTCAATACCATCGCGCCTACATAGAAATGATCGGTTTTGAAAAAACCGAAACTTTCGAACTTTGGGTAGTCGTAGTAATGCGTCCCATACTGGTGTCTCTTTTTGCGGACGAACTTCCAGCAAGATGTGCAAAACCAAATTCTTATAAAATAATGTTTTTCTTTATTTAAAAAAAAAAAACTTGCCACTACTACAGTAATCAGTGAAATACTTGCACATTTATTGTTTAATGCAATTTTGTAAATATAAATTTAAGAAATCATCCGATTTCAATATTCTGATGTTGCCTACAGTCACGTAACGTCATATAATAATTGTGACATCAGTGAAGTTGTATGATATAATAAAGACTTGTGGGCACTTCAAATGGTCATTATATCAGTTTGTTTTCTGTTGTATGTTTTCCTGGAGTTTTTGTTGTTTGTGTTCGTTTGCTTGTTGTGGGGTATTTTGTGCTTGTTTTTATAGGTTATTTATTTTGTTTTGTTTTGGGGGTTTGGGGTGGGGTATCGAGGGGTTGAGGGTTTTATTATTATACGATATAAAGGTCGATGGCGTTACAACCAACGCTCACCGTGTGCAATTTAAACAAAATGTGGCTCTTATACTAAAATAGAATATATTTTTGGTGATCCCTGGCCTAAATTGGCATGCCAGTATACTATTGGAAGCGGGGCGACATAGTTATCTAATTTTTTATTTATTTTAAAAAATCTGTCTGACCGTTTTAAATTTACAAATCCTTTTTTCCTAATGAATTGTATAATGGAACGAAAACAGGAGAAAAGGTCTATAACAGAATATCAGCATGTAAACATTAGTCTGCAAATCAAATACAAATGGCAGAGAACTCGGTCATACGCTAACAAATGATACATAAAGTGACTAACCAAATATCGCGGCCGATATGCATGCAACGTCACAGGTCAAATAGTCACGTGATATTAACAAAACCAAGTTTTTCCCTATCGCGTGGGGAGGACAGCAAAGTATCTCACTGGCAGGAGCTTCCGTGTATTCGTCTTTACCTGTCATGTTGCAATAAAGGTTAATACACCAAACGTTCCATTCTAGAAAAACGACAAAAGCTCGAAAATTTTGAATGAAAGTCACGCAATGTCTACAATAACGAGAAAAAACACGTACTATTCAACTTATCAATTGTGATGACAGCAATCCGAAACATGCTGTCGCATCTTCCTGGAAAGAGACAGACTGATCACGCTGAACTACTTGTCAACGCGGGTTTTGTCGTTATCACGTGACTATTTGACCTGGGACGTTTAAGCATATCGGCAGCGAGATTTGACTAGTCATGTGACTAGCAATGACAATGGAGCAAACAAAGTCAAAATTCACCATTAAATGCTGAGCGTCAAGTGAGGCAGCTGTAAGTACCATTTTTGTAAGTCTTTGGTATGACTCAGCCGGAAATCGAACCCACAACCTCCCGCATCCGAGGCGGACGCTCTAACCACTAGGCCACCGGAGCGGTCTACTTAAGGAGAGAACTATAAACAACGGCTATAAATAATATGCGGAAGAGAACGAATTATCGTGACGGAAAGTATATGCATTTCAGATCACAGACTTAGAGGTGACGAAAATCCCCCAAGAATTATTTTGATGTCATGAAGGAAACATCGTCCTACACTATACGTATAGCAGGGGAGGATACAGCGATATTTTGTCTATAGGAACCTTACTACTGTTAACTACTTAAGACCACGCCGCAGACATAATTATCATCTTGGAAATCTTGTATCCTCAAGAACTCGTAGAACACATCATAGTAATAATATGATGATTTCACTATAAACGCTTCCTATCATATCATAAACGATCCCAAATGAAAATGGTGCCCATTTAACCTCAAAACTGGCTCCATGTTTGTCATCATTAAATGTATTTTAATTGATACTCTTCTAGAAGATATGATTGTATTGAAATTAGATTTTCACTAAAAACACTTTCGGTATTATCGAGTTGGTTGAAAATTAGCATGGCCCTGGTCAGCTCTCCAATTTGGCTGCGAAAGCTACTAATTTGAAAAATATTATCTTCGCTGTTATTCTCAAACACCTGACTTGTGTTAGTAGTGGATTCTACACTACAATGTAGCTTGAGTATAGCGCGATCTATAGGTAGTCCATCTGATTATTTTAAAATTTTTCTCGAAATCCACTTGTTTTAAAAAAACCAAACAAGATTATCACAGTAATTTGCTATTGGCATTCATAGCTACGTTTTGGATTCTTAAAGTTTCTTTGATGATTTACTTTCAAAGTTTTCTTTTTGTTAGCTATATTTTGCTAAGCAATACGAACCCTATATCCACATTAAGTCAACCCCACTTCCTTCAACACCCAGTTCTGACGTTACGCTTATGAATGCGATATTGGTCATATATTTAAAAAATACGCCAATACTTCATCTACTACCTTGATGTGTACTTTGGATAGACATTGATCACTAATTTACTCGCAAAATATTGGCTATTAATGTGTTAAAACCAGTCAGACTTTGGTTCGTCTGTACTCTGTGCTGCATGACAAGTTCATGACTTGATTGACTTGTCCTTACTGCCGGTCAGCTCCAGGTGAAGGATAGTTAACAATAGTATGCTTATACACCTGTATGGGGTCAAATTTGGCGGCCATTTGGTGCACTTATCCAACATGTGCAGGGAGCACCTTTAGTCCATGTAAATCTGCTTGACAATGAGCGAGAAAATGTAGTAAAGCAAGAAAATGTCAAAATTTCTAGTTTATATAAAATTTGGGTGCATTAGAACTGTTCAAATTCGTGGATTTTTGGTAAAATGGATACACACACGCACACACAGACACACAAAATAATAGGAATCAAACAGACTATATATGCAAAACAAAGCAATTTTTAAAGGGAAAAAATATGTTGTAATGGTCCGTTATGTAGAAATGTCCTGGCTTGGCTAACTTTCAAGTAGGCGTTTCGAAACTACACTACACAGTTTAGTGTAAAACAAAATTTGGAACAGTGTGTGAGTGTGTATGTGTGTGTGTGTGTGTGTGTGTGTGTGTGTGTGTGTGTGTGTAATTTAGATTTTTAACATTGCTTTAACAAATTTTGAGTCATATCGCTACGACATCTGCAGTGTGACAGTTTATAGTGATGTCTACCACCAGAATATCATGCCGCAGACATGTAGCATGATGTCCCACCCAGTCACATTATCCTGACACCAGTGAGGCATCTGTTAAAATCATGTTTTAAAGTTGAACAGTATGTTACACGCAAAGATAGATTTCTTCACATTCGGTATGAGAGAGAGAGAGAGAGAGAGAGAGAGAGAGAGAGAGAGAGAGAGAGAGAGAGAGAGAGAGAGAGAGAGAGAGAGAGAGAGAGAGAGTATTTATAACACAGAGTGCTCAGTTTTCGTATGTCTTTAATTCAACATTATGCAAGCTACCGCTGTCTTAGATCGTTGGACTTTATGAAACAAAGTGTGGGATAAAGCGTTTTTCGTCTCTCGTGACTGTCTGTAGCTGAAACGGTCTGGTATCCTTGGAATTAGTCATGTGAAATAGTTACAAGATGAGATTTTGAGGCATCTTCCCCGTACTAACAGTATACAGAAACATATAAACAAAACTACTAACATACTTCCTGTACTATAATACACTGGTATAATCCCCAGTCCTACCCCAAAGAATAAAATCTCGAGGATACAACGTTAATGCTGCATTAAAACAAAAACGACGAGACCACTTCCATATTATTGCATCCAAAATTATATTTTTTTTAAAAAAAAAAAGACATCTCTCTGCTACTGTCTTCTGCTTTAAGATTTTAAAAAAAATAATGAAAAAGTTCAATTCGACTTCTGTAATAATGTGTAAAACAACAACAACCAGGCTCAAGGGGGGGGGGCACAATTTTAAAAGGGCCTTGACTTTCCCGGAAAGGAAACGAAAGCAAATGTATGTGTCTGTTAACTCAAAGTGTACAAAATACCAAACAAATGTGCGCGAGAATAACACGATGATCAAATTTCAAATGATCAGTGTATGTACTTTTATTTTAGCAGGGGGAGGGGGTCGGAAACCTGGAAAAAAAAAAACCTCCCATCAGGTCCTGACCTTTTCTGACATGAAGTTAGTTTTATTAATCTGCAACACTAGCGTCTTAACGCCGAAACTACTATGACTAGAATGAGATATCATTTAAATTTAATATCTTTGTATATTCCAAGTATATTGTGCAAGAGTCAATATGACCTAACATGTCAATGAGATCAAAGTCAGAAGTCACTATCTAGCTGTTGCACTTTAACGGGCTTACAAACAGAGTTACATAGTTAGATTGATTTTCACCAGACCTTTATTTAGTTGTATTTTAACGGACGCGCGCGTGCGCATTCTCATATCCACTTTTCGTTATCAAACATCGTCAATAAGGATTTTATATGTAATGATTTTTGCAAGTGATAACACTAACAGGTATAAGTGCATTTCTATCAAATTATCTTTGTGGTTTGATTTGAAGATCACTTTGAATGAGTTTCAGTCCAATCGTCATAAAAGATCGGTTTGAGAATGTAAAGATCAAACAAACAGTAATAAAAACTTGGGATTTTGTGTGTTCAACAGCAAAACCAAATACTTCCAAATTCATTATAAATTTATATGATATTTGAGTATAAATTTGACCGACCCAGTGAAGTTTGAAACATTTTAAATGTCTAGTAATTTTTTTCGTTTTTAATAAATTTATAATATTTGATTTAGCTCTTAAAAGGTAAAAATAAAAATATTTTAAGTTTGAGCATTTATCTATTAATTTTAAAATCTCACATGAATCAAAAATGAAAATTGAATTAGCATTTGTATGTATCTTTAATTTCTTTGCGCGATTATCCCTTGTTCATGATTGAGGATACAGTTTTGGTGAGTCCTTTTTTTTGGGGGGGAGAGGATGGGCATGTCTGAAAGCTATAAATAGGTTGTTTATTTGTGTTTGAGTCCCAGCCTTGATTATCACTTTAAAAGATTCTATAAGTAAACTTGTATACAGTTTGAGATAAGTTTCCATTAGGATGACTGATTGTTTATTCAGAAAAAGGTCAAGTGGGAATGTATATCAATTTGACATCAACAAGATTATTCATTGAAACTGTAAGATTTGCTGTTATGTTCAAATATAATTTGGCAGGAATATTTTCTTTAAAACTTATTCATTGGAATTACAAAGTGCTTATTGATATTTCGGACGAAGACACTACCGATGTATTATTGAATACTCATTCAAAGGCATTCTGGCTTATATCATTGCGCTACTTCAAAAACTAGAGTCATATCAGCATTCAAGATTGGAATTCGTTCGAACACCATTAGAATTGATTCGGAACAATATACTTTTGGACATGATAGAACTTTTAATATCATTTGTGATTCAATTCACAATATTGCAAGTTCCTTCTGAATTTTCACTTTATATTCTAGGGAATAGTTTATTTGCTGAATTTTACTAAATTTGGTTTTGCTTTTTTGTTACTTAGTTTAAGATCATAGAGTTATAACAGACTGTATTTTCTAAATCACCAAAACTATTAATCGTTGCAAAGAACAAAAAAGTATTGAACCAAAGACAGATACAACATGAATTTGACTATATGAAAGATATATAAGCACTGTATTGAACCGTATTGCCTAACAAAACGATCACAATTCTTATCAGAAAAGAAATGTATTAACATTTTGACATCTAAATGATTGACATTAGATTTAAGAAATTAACCAGTACATCACACTTTCCTTGTCCTACGACTCACTTCAAAATTCCAGTTAATAGACAAAACTACGTATTTATTTTCTTTGATGTGGGAAGGAAGAATGAGTTTGATGTGTCGTTGGAATAAGTCGAGGCTGTCAGGCAGAGACGTATGTTTCTACTCCGTATCAAATGAGTTCATTCCCTTGACTCGGAACAAAATATTTAAAGATCACCTGCCACCTATATTGTACAAACGTGTGATATTATTATAGTCACAAACAAAACTCATTTCTTATGTATGCACACCATACAAATGCTTAATTAGACTTAAAAATCCACTTTTGTAGATGAAAAATTATTGGACAATCTCCGTAAACAATCGGTAGTTTCCTTGTACCAAACATGGATATGACGTACATTTATCCCTTCTATTCAACCTAGCCACTCAAGTGTTTTATTTCCCGACGTAAATGTCTTCGTGATATATCTTACGATCGTGCTTTTGTACAATAAATATGATGCACTGTGTTGCAAGAAAGAGTGATGATGGGAAAAAGGATTCACCAAATGTGACTGCATTTCTTAAAATTATTAATTTGTGTTGACATCTTTGAATAATTAAACGTGAGTAGTGAATGGGGGTACTATAGCGTCAATGGGAGTTGTCACTAAAATATAGCCTCCGGCACTTTGGCATCAAGAATTTTGGCGCGAAATGGCACAGCCGTGCCTTTATAGCGTC